ATGACCTTTCGACCTTTTTGTGTATTTTTTGTGTGTTTTAAACTCCTTGAAACTTTATTATTTGGAGACAGTTTGCTAGACTTTCACTTCCTCTTTTTTAAAAATCGATTTTTATATTTATTCCCGCGATTTTCTTCCTTTTGTTTTCCTTCTTTCTTTCTTTTACCCCCTTCCTTTATTTTCGTTCTACCTTTCTTTCTTTCTTCATTTCTTTTACCCCATTCCTTTCTTTTACCCCCTTCCTTTCTTTCCTTTTTTTTCTATTACCCCCATCCTTTCTTTTCGTTCTACCTTTCTTTCTTTCTTTCTTCCTTTCTTTTACCCACTTCTTTTCTTTTCGTTCTACCTTTCTTTTCCTTCTTCCATTCTTTTACCGCCTTCCTTTCTTTTCGTTCTACCTTTCTTTCCTTCTTCCTTTCTTTTACCCCTTTCCTTTCTTTTCGTTCTACCTTTCTTTCCTTTTTTTCTTTTACCCCCTTCCTTTCTTTTCGTTCTACCTTTCTTTCTTTCTTTCTTTCTTTCTTTCTTTCTTTCTTTCTTTCTTTCTTTTCTTTCTTCCTTTCTTTTTACCCCATTCCTTTCTTTTCGTTCTACCTTTCTTTCTTTCTTCATTTCTTTTTACCCCTTCCTTTCTTTTTCGTTCTACCTTTCTTTCCTTCTTCCTTTCTTTTACCCACTTCCTTTCTTTTCGTTCTACCTTTCTTTTCCTTCTTCCTTTCTTTTACCCCCTTCCTTTCTTTTCGTTCTACCTTTCTTTCCTTTTTTTCTTTTACCCCTTCCTTTCTTTTCGTTCTATCTTTCTTTTCCTTCTTCCTTTCTTTTACCCGCTTCCTTTCTTTTCGTTCTACCTTTTTTTCCCTTCTTCCTTTCTTTTTACCCACTTCCTTTAACTTACCTTTTCCTTTCTTTTTCCTCTTCCTTCCATTTCCTTCTTTTTTTTCTTCTTTTCTTTTCCTTCTTCCTTTCTTTTCCTTCTTTCTTTCTTTTCCCTCCTCCATTACTTCCCTCTTTCTTTCTATTCCTTTATTTTCTTTCCTTTCTTTTTCCTCTTCCTTTCTTTTTCCTCTTCCTCTCATTTCCTTCTTTCCTTCTTTTTTCTCCCTTTCTTTTACTTCTTCCTTTCTTTTTCCTTTTCCTTTCATTTCTTTCTTCCATCCTTTTCTTTCTTCCCTTCTTTTCCTTCTCACTTCCTTTCCCTCTTCCTTTATTTTCTTTCTTTCTTTTTCCCCCCTCTTTCTTTCTTTTCGTTCTACCTTTCTTTCTTCCTTTCTTTTTACCCCTTCCTTTAATTTACCTTTTCTTTTCTTTTTCCTCTTCCTTCCATTTCCTTCTTTTCTTTTTTCTTCTTTTCTTTTCCTTCTTCCTTTCTTTTCCCTCCTTCATTTCTTCCCTCTTCCTTTCTATTCCTTCTTCCTTTACTTTTCCTCTTCCTTTCTTTTCCTTCTACCTTTCTTTTCCTTCCTTTATTTCTCTCTTCCTTTATTTTGCCCCTTCTTTTCTTTTTTCTCCCTTTCTTTTACTTCTTCCTTTCTTTTTCCTTTTCCTTTCATTTCTTTCTTCCATCCTTTTCTTTCTTCCTTTCTTTTACCCCCTTCCTTTATTTTCTTTCTTTCTTTCTTTCTTTCTTTCTTTCTTTCTTTCTTTCTTTCTTTCTTTCTTTCTTTCTCCTGTAGTTCGTTTCGTTCTCTTTTTCTTCCTTTAATATCATTTCTCCTCTCATTGCTATTTCTTTCTTTCTTTCTTTCTTTCTTTCTTTCTTTCTTTCTTTCTTTCTTTCTTTCTTTCTTTCTTGTACATATAGTTAGTTTCTTTCTTTCGTTTTTAACCTTAATTTTTCTCATTGCTCTCTCTTTCTTTCTTTCTTTTCCTTCTTTCTTTCTTTTCCTTCTTACTTTCTTTCTTCTCTTTCTTCATTTTACTTCTTCCTTTCTTTTTCTTTTTCCTTTCATTTCTTTCTTCTATTGTTTTCTTTCTTCCTTTCTTTTCCTTCTTCCTTCTTTACCCCTTCCTTTCTGTTCCTTCTTCCTTTCTTTCTTTCTTTTCCTTAACCCTTTTATTTTCCTGCTTCCTTTCTTTTTCTTTCTTTCTTTCTTTCTTTCTTTCTTTCTTTCTTTCTTTCTTTCTTTCTTTCTTTCTTTCTTTTCCCTCTTCTTTTCTTGCATCATACCCACTGGGATATGTTTGATACGTTAGATAGTTTGTATCATTTTCTTTACCAACGCAAGAGGTCAGTGTTCAAGCCGAGCGAAAAGACGTTTTCATTTTTTTTTTTATATTGAGGATCACCCTCTGGCCAATCTAGGGATATGATTACAGAGTAAGACGTGGTTTATGTGGATAGGAGGGGAAGATAATGGTTAACTCTAGACCTTTATGCAGAGATGTGGTTCGCGGGAAAAAGCTGTTCTATTGGACCATATTTATCGCTAATGGAATACGGACGGAATGAGATAGATTTGTTATAATGTGAGTGAAATGGTGGGTCCTAGCTGTGAAAAGTAGTACTGGCGGAAATCAAGGAATGCAGCTCGTCTGAGCACTTTCCATGAAAGAAGTGATAGAGGAGTGAGAGTCTTGTTAGAGCCTGTGAAAGAGAGGTTGGAGGGTGGTAAATAATATGTCACCAACAAGGACTCGGAGACCTCGGAAGGAAACCGTTCCAAAAGCTCGCGCAAAAGTTTTTCTAATCAGATATTCGTCTCATTTGTTCTATTCCAACGTTTAATTTATTTATTTATTTTTTGCGATACGTTAGGATCGTTAGATATTAATATATAATTCAATGGTACAATAAAACCTCGATTTAAAGAGCTAATTGTTGTGGAGTGTGTTCCTTAAATCTGATAAATCTCTGTGTCTTTTCTGTAAATGCTTTTATGATAATTGTTCATACGATCTGTTCGCTGTGCTACCATGTTTGTTTTTTTTTAATTTAAGCGCAACACTAGACTCACGTCGAGATCTCATCAGTTTACAATTAACCTGTCTAGATGCAACCGTAAGTTCTATACTAACAGTTTCTTCTCTCTTACTTTTCGTTTGTGGAACTCCCTTCCAGCTCCATAATTTCCAGCCAACCTTAATCTGCAAAACTCTAAATGAAATGTCAATGGCTGTCTGCTCTCCACTAGATTACTCTTTTCTCTTTCTGCACATCATTATTGTTTCTGGTCTTAATTCTTCCACGCCCTGTAACTTCTTGTGTTTTAGCGACATTGGGGTAATCAGTCAGTAATATGCCATGCTTAGGCGATCATATATCTTTCGATACATAACTGACGACGTAGATTTTTCCCGCAGTACTTTGCGGTAAACCAGAAAGATATAGAACCCAGTCTGTGCTGTTATTTACCCATAGCTGGGGGGGGGAGAAGAAGAGGATTCATACATTTCCCAAGGGTATTAGCACGTAAGTGAAGTTAATGGATTTGAATGGAATTCGAACTCAGCTCTCCGATTCCTCAAACCGAGTCGTTATCCACCGTGCCTCCTTGGGGTCGTACCGATAAAAAAATAATCCCCCGTTTCGCAAGGGCTGTAGATCATCGGATTTTAAAACAAAGCACCATTTTGTTAAATCCAGGTTGGAAAGTTCTATTCGTTTTCTCTTGCATCAGATTGAAGGATTCGGAATTTGCCATTTAAAGAAAGTGAATTTAAAATTTAAGAAATATTAGTAAAATATAATAACATTATAATAAAATAATAAAAATAATAAAAATTCAAAATAATCTTAAAAATTTACGAACATATGAAAAATTTCAGTAAACTGTGTAAAACGCAACACGCACTTTTAAATTATTTATACCCTACACGCAAGCCGCTAATAGCCCGCTGGCTGATAGCAACGTTAGCGGTCATCTGGTGGTGGGCCATCGGTGAGCGTCTAGCTGTCCGCCAGTGGTAACATTGCCGAGATGAACACACTGATGGTCTGACAGCGGGCCACCAGTAAGTACGCTAGTGGCATGCCACCCAATAGCTGATTAGTGGTTTGCATGTAGGGTATTTTATTTATACTTCGACTATTGACCTCATCTATCACAATGTTTCGGTTGTTGTGCCATCCGGCCTTCATCAGGTGCTTGTCGGTCCGGGTAACCTCCTGGGAAATTCAAACTGAACACATTATATAATATTCGGAACAAGAGTGTTTTCGTCCCGCTGTTCATATCTTTGGACATCTTTTTTTCTTCTTTCTTCAGTACTGGTCAGTACAGCCTGTTTCCACTGAATCTAAATCTGCACTACTCTGGTTTGTACCTGGATAGTGACAGTTTGGGAATACCAGTTGCTGTTAGCTTGGATGTACGGTCGGTCTAATGGATAACGGCTCGGAATTTTAATTCGGAGAGCCGGGCCCCAATTCCAGTCGGGTTCGTTATAATCACTCATGCGGAAATACCCTTGGGAAAGGCATGAATCCAACTTTTCTCCCACAACCTATGGGTTAATTATTAAGACTTGTATCGTCGAAATCATTATTATCTTCGAAAAATAATTAAAGTCTAAAAATTAATTGCTACCTATGGATAAAATAGCAGAACAGCCTTATAGCCTTTTGTTGCAGGAGAAGGAAACTTTGAATTCAAACCGAAGCGCACTAACCTAAAAGTGTGTAAACATGCGACTCGGGAACGCTTGTGAATACACATTTCCACTGAATAAACCTCCAACAATAGGTTAAATAGTAAGGCAGTCTGAACTCTGTAACGTTGGTCAGCAAGCAGTCTAGGGGCAAGATAAATCTGAATTTAAAACTGTATGTAGTCCTGGAGATGCAACTAAGGAAAGGGTCGTGGAATTTGCATTAACTGAATGATTCCGACTACGTTCGACCTCCATTAAATAACAAAAGGTTGATAAGCCGTTAAAAAAAAAACATATCAATACACGACTCGGTTCAGAGATGGGAATTACAATTATTATGTTACCAAAATCATGAACCAATGTTGTTAACACATGGGACAATCCTGAGTATAGAACTTGGACCCTTGAACCTAATCTTCCTGCTGCTGAGTGTGCTGATGTTTGACACGCTTGAATGCATTCATTGTGGCGTCTGTTTTCCAATGCTGTTGCTTTAAATGAGAGACTCATTTCGGGGATAATAGGTGTTATCTCGAAGAACTAAAGGCTAATAAAATATGTCCACGTATTCAGAGTTTTATTCTGAAATAATACTTCATTACCAAAGAGGATTTGTCATTTTGGTTTTTAATTTTTCGACTAATGTTTTTGGGTGGAAATGATAAAAATAAATAAGATAAATAAATAAAATAATAAATAAGCATCATGCTGATAAAGATGATGATTTTTACAGATTGCTTGTTTATCAAGATGACATGGAGGATCGTTTTATTTTCTTTCTTTCTTTCTTTTTTTTTTCTTTCTTTCTTTCTTTCTTGCACAAGTGTAGCTTTCGTTGCTTTTTGCTTTTTTCTTTCTTTCCTACGTACGCGTATCTTTCGTGTTTATTTGTTTCTTTTGTTTTCTTTCTTTTTCTTTCTTTCTTTCTTTCTTTCTTTCTTTCTTTCTTTCTTTCTTTCTTTCACACGCTTATTTTCCGTTGTTTGTTTGTTTCTTCTTTCTTTCTAGCGTACGCATATCATTCTTTCTTTCTTTCTTTCACAAGTGTATCTTTCGTTGCTTTTTTCCTTTTTCTTTCTTTCTTGCGTACGCGTATCTTTTGTTGTTTGTTTGTTTCTTTCTTTTGTTTTCTTTCTTTCTTTTGTATCCTTTCTTTTTCTTTCTTTCTTTCTTTCTTTCTTTCTTTCTTTCTTTCTTTCTTGCACACGCTTATTTTCCGTTGTTTGTTTGTTTCTTCTTTCTTTCTTGCGTACGCGTATCATTCTTTCTTTCTTTCTTTCTTTCTTTCTTTCTTTCTTTCTTGCGCACGCTTATTTTCCGTTGTTTCTTTCTTTCTTTCTTTTTTGCGTATGCGTATCATTCTTTCTTTCTTTCTTTCTTTCTTTCTTTCTTTCTTTCTTTCTTTCTTGCGCACGCTTATTTTCCGTTGTTTCTTTCTTTCTTTCTTTTTTGCGTATGCGTATCATTCTTTCTTTCTTTCTTGCACACGCTTATTTTCCGTTGTTTCTTTCTTTCTTTTTTGCGTATGCGTATCATTCTTTCTTTCTTTCTTTCTTTCTTTCTTTCTTTCTTTCTTTCTTTCTTTCTTTCTCCCCAAGGTACTTTAATTCATCGTCTCAAAGTGATACCGGATTAGAGCCTTTTCGCTTATAGTGAACTTCAAAGGTTTGTCCGGGCAGGACATTGTGGCAGGTTGTGAAAGCACGGAAAGGGTCATTTTGAGTGTGTTAAAAGAAAAAAAAAAAGTAAAAAGAAAATCGTAGAAGACGCAAGTAGACAGTTGGCAGGGGAGAGAGAGAGAGAGAGAGAGAGAGAGAGAGAGAGAGAGAGAGAGACCCTAAAATGTTGACAATGCAAATAGGGAAGAGGAGGAGAATTTAACTGCAGCATCTGGAGACTATTCACCGAAGGCTTGAATCTCGATGCTAGCAGGAAAATACGCCACCAGCAGCAGAACTGTCTTTCTTGGACCGAAACAAAACAAAAAAAAAAAAAAAAAATGGAAACAAAATGAAATTTCTACTTCATTTTTTTTAAAAGCTGCCATACATTTTTCTAAGAGAGAGAAAAAAAAAAGAATTTAAGCGGCCAAAAGAAAGAAAGAAATCAATGTGAAAAGATGGAACAAGAAATAAATATTTTAACCCAGAAAACAATATGTGAATTACTGTAGGAATATGTATTTTGATTTTTAAATAGCCTTATAAAACATTAAAATAATCTTGTGATATAACGATATTAAATGGCTTATATATAAATGGAACGGCCACTCGTCTAGATCTTTCTGCCTTAATTCAGGTGTCCCCCAGGGTTATATCCTTGGACCTACATTGGTCCGAATTTTCATCAATGAGCTTGAATAGAACTATTAAACACACACACACACACACACACACACACACACACACACACACACACACACACACACAACACATATATATATATATATATATATATATATATATATATATATAATTGTGTATTTATGCAGCAGTTCCTCATTGATACATATTTCATTTAAGACGACAGACAAGGTACTGCGACTAAGCTTTTTATTTAAGTTTTCTTGTGTTCGAACAAGTATTCTCTTTTCTGGACCCAGA